AAAAATAGAGATTGTTGTAAAATCTAGGCTTGTTCAAGAGTATTAATATGAACTTCAGTCACCACACTGAGCTGGCAGTCGCTAAAGGAAAGTTATGAGCGGATGGATGATAAGAACTTTTCAGATAAGAGATCCAGAATACCTATTGCCATTATGGAAAACACTAGTGATTCCAAGACTGGAATAGCAAGGCCAAGTCTCACAATAGGTGTAAAGAAAATTATACATGGCGGATCTTAAATATCGGAAAGGAACAAAGCAACTCAGACTCTTCATTTTACAAAAATACTTTATTATATATGTATAGGATATTCGATCATACTTCCCAATTAAGAAACATATGCAACCAAAGTTTATTAATTCATAGGCCAAGACTGTTAAATGGTGCAACAAAAAATATTAGAAACATATCTTAGAGCTCTCTGACAATGTTTAAGACGGTTGGTTAAATCCAGTATTTAATGAAAGTGTTGAGTGTTAATGAAAGGAAAGGGCTGAATCAAATGCTGCCTCTCAAGTTCAGTTCTTGGTAGATGAATGAAGATGGGCAGTCCCCTAGGATGGCCCTAGCACGAGCCACTCTTGCTCTTACACCAAGTAAATTGAGTATATATATATATATCGGGATGTCAGTGGGGGGAGGGGGGCTGGGCTGGACTCTTAAACTCTTACAGCTAATTGAATTTGATTACAGACACATGCAAAGCAGACTAGACCGGTACAGCAATTGCCCCCCTCTCCCTCCCCTATTTGACGCCCCTGGTTATCATCGGTCTTTATATATCTTGATACTGTATATTCATATACAGTAATACTAGATTTATTTCTTTACCAAAAGATTCAAGAGCAGATGCTTGCTTCTTAACATATATATATTGTGATCTCATCAGTGTCACCAGTACCACGGTAATCACTCTTTTCCCATAAAACTTTAGTGCAGCTAGTGGTAGTAGAACTACAATAACATATGAATAAATTCATATATATTATCCGTGAATACCAGAAAAAATGTTTTGGTTTATTGTCTATTGAGTGTTATTCATCGTGCTCCCCACCCCCCAAAAAAATCCCGAGCTAATTGTGCTCACTTTGCTCACCGACCCCCCCCCCCCCCAAGCAAAAGCTGAAATGAAGTCCCTGACATATATGTATGTGTGTGTGTGTGTGTGTGTGTGTGTGTGTGCGCGCGCGCGTGTGTGTGTGTGTGTGTGTGTGCGTGTGTGTGTGTGTGTGTGTGTAAACAATACATAGCAAGACCGGATGGTACAATTCACACCTCTGTCGCCAGTAGCTGTCTTTCTTCCATGGGCGGACGCAAGTGCCCGTCCGGCATTCTCTTTTCGCACGAAAGTAAGCATCCATCCTCGAAGGGAGCTGCTGCATAAAAAAGACTCATTCGTCAGAAGGAGAAGGGAGAGACACGGCAGACAGACCACCCAACACAGGGTCCAACTCCACCACCTCGTCCTCAACCCCGGATACAAGAGGGTCTCCTGGGGGGTCATATCTATCTTCAACAATAAACCAGCAAGCTAAGACCCCAGTCATTGACCCGCCCCAAGTCCATCTCTCATGTCACTCATAATCTGGTGGCAGCGGTGCTCCCAACCTCTCATGTCGTTCATGATCTGATGGTCACGGTGGTCAAGAACCTCATGACGCCAACGATAATTCGCCTACTACCCTGCGATTCCAAGCGCCTAGCCAACGCCTGTTGCGGATCCACGCTATCTGCCGACAAAGTACTCTTGTCGAAGTGCCTCCTCACCTTCTTTAACGTCCAGCTATTATTACCAAGTCCTCTGCTGATCTGCGCCTACCCGCATCATGTCTGTCCTACTATTTCGTGCTGACCACTCACGCCTGTGCTACACTCCTGAGGAAGTCGCTGACGATATGTTTCCGCACGCTGCAACCCTCGCCAATCCGGCTCACCTACTTCGTCTTCGCGAACCCCCGTCAGGACAGTCATGAAGGCGCAGTTCTCAGCACAATCATGAAGGCACAGTTCTACCTACAACCACCAATACTTCCTCGTTACAATTAAAAGGAAGTGTGCCTATTAATACCAAATTAACTATTGCCCTCCCTTTACCCACCCACACCTTACATACGAATTGCCTTCAAAACTTCTCGTTGCCCATCATTGTTTTACAACACAACAACAAATGAAGTCACACACTGGGATCAGACCCATGTAACACATACCCTCACACCTCATTCCTATGCCCTAACCATCCCGTAACTGATATGTTGTGTTACTAGTGTTTTTTTTCTGTCTATTATCATTTTACCCGTACATCGCACAGTTTATTTTATCTTATTTTCTCACAGAACAAACAATTCCCTTCAAGAGTATGAATTATTAATAAATTAAGTTTTCCCCGTTGTATTATTCATATTGACTGCTGTTGTAGAAATACCCACAATACAAAAAACTAGATTTATTGAAAAGGAGTATTTGCATTGTGGGTCTTGGCTTCAACACGGAAGAGTGTAGAGAAGGTATGAATGAGAATGAATTCTTCACAATACAAGAGATGCGTTTGACCGATTTCGATTATATCTTCGTCAGAAATACATACAACAAAAGATCAAAACCGGTCAAATACATCTCTTGTATCCTGAAGATATTAATTTTCATTCATATCTTTTCTTCACTTGCTTACTGTACCCTGCTAGTACGTGCTTAGTTACTAGGCTTCCTTTTTGAATGTGTGTATACCCTTCTGTCTTTCACAACCACTGCATTTTCTTATAATTCCCACGTTTGTCCATTCTCCACGAAATTCAATCTAGGATTATGAATTTTACTGTGACATACCTATGACTTATAACAAATCGCTTTTATGACATCCTCTAGCAGTTCGATATCTTGTCCTCATCTATACTGGAATTTATGTTTCTCTAGTTTTAATGCATTGGTGAATATGTAATATGTAACTAACTTATGGTAGTCTCTTTTGTTGCAAATAATGGTAACGCTGGTAACACACTACAGACATCATGCTTTATATAGGCTTTCATAGTTATTATCACCACAAGTTATCTTAAGTCCGACTCATGGCCGTAAACGAAGAGGTCCTGCCCCGCTGCACCGAGAAATTACCGAGACGCGCACTGTTAGAATTAAATACTTACCTATTTAGCCTAAAGATATGGAATTCTTGTCCAATTACTTCTTCTCTCTTCAATATGATGGCACTCTACTGAACTCGCTAATCCTAACAAATCCAAAGTAATTAACACCTCATTTGACACGTTATCCCTTCTTGTGACAAATTGTGTGTATATATATGTGTGTGTGTATGTGTATATATACATACATACATATATATATATATATATATATATATATATATATATATATATATATATATATATATATATATATATATGTATGTATGTATGTATGTATGAATATGTATGTACGTAAGTAAGTATGTGTATATATGTAGTATATATATGTGTGTGTGTGTGTGTGCGTGTGTGTGTGTGTGTGTGTGTGTGTGTGTGTGTGTGTGTGTGTGTGTGTGTGTGTGTGTGTGTGTGTGTGTGTGTGTGTGTGTGTGTGTGTGTGTGTGTGTGTGTGTCTGTATGTGTGTGTGTCTGTATGTGTGTGTGTGTGTGTGTGTGTGTGTGTGTGTGTGTGTGTGTGTGTGTGTGTGTGTGTGTGTGTGTGTGTGTGTATGTGTGTGTATGTACATATGTACATATGTGTGTTATGTGTGTGCATGTATATATTTACATATATACACATACATATATTTGTGTATGTGTGTGTAATATATGTAGATAGATAAGTAGATAGATAGATGTATATATGTATATGTACGTGCATACATGTAAATATATACGCATATTTACATATATTTATGTATGTATATACGTATATATATATATATATATATATATATATATATATATATATATATATATATATATATATATATATATATATATATATATATATATATATACATATATATGTAGTATATGGATAGTATATATATATGTATATATATATATATATATATATATATATATATATATATATATATATATATATATATATATATATATATATACATATATATATATATATATATATATATATATATATATATATATGTGTGTGTGTGTGTGTGTGTGTGTGTGTGTGTGTGTGTGTGTGTGTGTGTGTGTGTGTGTGTGTGTGTGTGTGTATGTATATATATGTATCTGTACAGATGTATATATACATACACACATACAAGTATATATACAAATGTATCCATGCGGGTGCCTGTTGTGCATGTGGACGTATGTGCGTGCCTTTGTACGTGTGTTTGCGTTCGTATATGCCGCCGCATATGTGCGGGTGCGTATGTGTGTGTGTGTGTGTGTGTGTGTGTGTGTGTGTGTGTGTGTGTGTGTGTGTGTGTGTGTGTGTGTGTGTGTGTGTGTGTGTGTGTGTGTGAATAGAGTGTATTTCACAGTAAGACATATTCCTCTGCAGAACCCGATATGCAGCAACTATTTCTGGATGAATCCAAGCTGGCAGCCACGAGGGAGGATTCCCGTGAGGACAAGTCTGAGCAAGTCAACGCGTCACGCCACAACTAAAGGTGTGATATCTATGATTGTACTTAGAAAGCTCTTTTGCGTATTCTCCTGAGCCTGATATCAGCAGCATAAGCTTACGGGTGGTTTGTAGACACATTCACCTCGTCTGCTCGCTTCATTAAATGTGTAACGTGTTACCCAATAGGAAACAAAAATGATATTGGCTACACTGGCAACTCAGGCTGCGTATCACTCGTTTTACTGTCAACGTGTTTCTGTATTTGAACTTCTGTATTTGAATATTATATTTTACTTTACGTTTTATGACTGAAGGACACTTAATTCCGGTAATATTATGTTGTAAGTTTACAACTCGACAATTTAAAAAAATAAGAAACCCACGCATATGGTAACTCTCGTCATGGCTAAAACGTTTTGTACATTATTTCTCGGGT